ATCCACCCTTAGAACTTCCAGAGCCCAGAAGAAGGCCACTCATTAGCACTCCAGCATTAATTAAAGGTATTTTCTTTCTCTTGCAGAGCACAGCACGTTAAATCCCAGCCCCTCATTGTAGTTTCAACTTGATTCTGTATCAACACCCTCCCCCAAGCCCCACATCAGTCTATGGCCTTGATTGTTAATTAAAACTGGGAGTTACAGGTTACACAAGGATAAGAAGGTTTGCTCTTCTGGCCTGGACTGGTGTAATAACAGGCTCTGGGGGGAGTGGGATGGCCACAGAGAGAAGTTGTGAAGAGAAGGAACATGAGTATTCATCTGAACACAGGAATTACTGCTCCTGGGAACTGAGGGACACAGAAAATGAAATTGAAAAGCACAAAAAAACCCCAACTGAAATAAGCTGTTAAGATCAAAAGAGCAACAGGAAAATTTGGTGAATTTGGGGGCCTACAAGAAAAAAATCTGGTGAATTTGGGGGCCTACAAGAAAGTTGGGGAGGGACATTTTACAAGGGCTGAGAAAGACAGAACAAGGAGAAATGGCTTGAAAGTGGAAGAAGGCAGGTTTAGATGAGATATTAGGAAGAAATTGTTTGGTGTGAGGGTGGTGAGACAGTGTCCCAGGTTGGCCAGAGAAGCTGTGGCTGCTCCTCCCTGGAAGTGTTCAAGGCCAGGTTGGATGAGGCTTTGAGCAACCTGGTCTAGTGGAAGGTGTCCCTGCTGCTGGCAGGGGGGTTGGGACTGGATGAGCTTTCAGGTCCCTCCCAACCCAACCCAGTCCATGATTCTGTGATTCCATGAATTAAGAGATCCGTTCCCCTCTCTGGAGGTTGGTGTTGAAGAGATGGACTCTGACATTCACAGGAAAAGGAACAGTCTGTAATTCACTCCTCAAACAAAAGCTGTGACACTCACAGGACGTTCCTACCTAGATGGAAGTACAACAGTGTCACCCTCAGCATCTCCCTTAAGAGTCACACCTGCAACACAAACTCCTTGGACCACGTGCAACTCAGCAGCGTGTCTGCTACTGACAAAAGACACATTTGTAAGGAATTCAGGGACAGAAAACTTGCAACTTGAGTCATTCTACAGGAAAACTAAGACTGGAGGACATGAGGCCAGCCAGCAGGAGCTGTTTGTGGTCTGCAAACACACTGGGCTCCTGTTTGTTGCCTCCTGATTAGGGAACGTTGGGTTCCTGCCCAACTGCTGCTGGGGAGCACCTGTAGCTCAGACACCTCGGAACAAGTGGGACACGGCAAACTGGTCCAGGCAAATTAAGATTTGGAAGTTAATGAGGCAGTGGGCATGGAAGGGAAGTGTTGAGGTGCTGCTGGAGGCTGGGTGGGACTGCAAGGACAGTGCAACCACAGTGGTGACATGCAAGAGGGCACAGTCCCCACCACCAGCTGGGGCAAGTCAATATGGCACACAGGAGGCCTCAACCCACAGGAGCTCCTGAGAGGGCATGACCAACCAGGTCCCAGGCTGCAGGGTGTGCCTGGTGCTTCTACAGGCTGAGAGAGTTGGGGCTGTTCAGCCTGGAGAAGAGAAGGCTCCAGGGAGACCTTCTAGTGGCCTCCCAGTACCTGAAGGGGC